TTCTTTTAAAGTAAAAGAAATAACAATTGATATTGTTTTATAGTCTGTCTATTACAAGTTCGTTTTTGTTTTTCTTTGTGAATTTTTTTCCCCCCTCTCCAACATCAACTAAATAAACGAATATCATGTTTTATTTAATATAATCATACAAAGGCAGACAAGTGTTTTATTTTGTTTTTTGTTTTGTTTTGCTAAGTCTAATATCTTGGCAGAGTACGTGATTTCCTTGATTTCTTGCTTTGGTTTTGGCTAATGGGCAAGTTTCTGTTTTTTTTTGTAATTCAAAATCTGTGCATGAGGACTTTGTCGTTGTAAGAACGCACTGAGTATCATTCAACAGTCTGCGAAATAGTCTTTCTCGCTGTTCTTGAGTATTGCAAACCTTGTTGTGAAATAACATGTTTTCTGTAAGACCAAAAAGTTCATAATTTCCCATGAGCTCGATGTGAAACCAAATCTTACTTCTTGAAATCGTTAAGAAAAAATACCCAAATATGATAAATGACGGGAGCTCAATGTACGCTAGCATTAATTTAGCCCGTTTGTGAAAGGGGGTCTTGATCGGGACCGAAAACCGACAGAAAAACGGAGACAAATTCATTTTTCAGAATTTGTTTTCACATTGAAATTCGTTCAGGCTTGTAATACTGGACAAGAACGATTTTAATGAGAAATAACATTTTACTATATGAGTTTGATATTTTGGAAATCGTATTTTGATAAGAAAGGCAACAAATACAGATAAGAATGGGCTTGCTACAAAACCAAATATTGCTGATGACAAATTCCTTCTTCAGATTATATTTCCCTATTCAAACTCGTTCGAGGAATTTATTACTGGACAAGAACGAGTATAAATGGGGAAATATTAATAAAGTTTGAAACTTTACACATATCGTACTTTTTTTTTTTACACTTAGGCTATCGCAATAAGGATAAAAGCTTAAAAAAAATATTTCACAATTTCACTCGTTAAAGAAATGTGTTACTGGACAAGAATGAGTTTTAATGGCGAAAATTATGTTTTTCAAATAAAATTTGCATATAAAAGCTGTCTATGAATAATATAAAACTATATTAGAAGTTTAAAGAAATTAAGTAAAACAATGAAAATGCCAAACGACAGTGTCTTGTAAATATGTGGATACACTTTCAATAGTCAAAACGTATTATTTATTTAAATGGATCTTAATAACAAAAAATTAGAACAAAACACACACATATTTAAATACATATATTTCGGTAATTTTTTTTTTTAATGTATTAGGCGCTCTATTGATGCATTATCCGTTTTTTTTTTACTATCAATGCTGAACCACACCTACGAAGTCTTATATTATAGGACTTTCCTCGTAGTTGAAACGGGGTTTTTATCCCAAAGGACGCCACATTTTGCAATGAATTAGATCTATATTTTTTTAACCTTTTCAAATGAAATTAGTTGAATGGAAAATTTCCCGACTATAGACAAGACAAGACATATATTTAGATTTCTTAAATTTTTCAACTGGCTTCAATTATTACAAACAAAACGATAAAACAATAAATCTTTATTATTTTATTTTTTCAAGGAAACCTTTTTTTGTTTGTTTGCCAAGCTTACTTGTATGTGTTTATTACCATCACTAGTCACTAAGTAATAAAGATCAAAGGACCTAATCAACATGGTAATTAGTAAATATAATCATCGGTCATGCATGACATATCCCAGGAAAACGGCGCGTGCCGATAAAAACTTCAATAACTTCTTAAATATTGAATTGATTTTATTTAGACAAAAATTATAAGATCAAAAATTAAATTATCTATCAAATGTATACCCTCAACGCTCACTAAAACATCTATTACATGTCCTGAGTGCACTTTTTATGTCCTGAATGCACTCAGGAGGTCCTGAGCGGTTTTTAGACGTACCGCCTCTGCCCGATATAGATTTATCAGAATGTTAAACAGCATGCCAATTATTGACATGCTTATCGTGTAATTTTGACATTAAAAGTTTTACAACATAATTAGTGTCCATATTTTCAGGACACAGACAAGACAAGACAAGACAAATACTTTATTAAAGTCTCACCTTATGTATACATACATATAAAACATATACATATATAAACAACAGCGTATACATAAGCCACTCTAAAAAGTGTTACGAGAGACTGATTAAAACACATATACATAAAAGAAATGTATATACAAGCATTAAACCTATGTGTTACATCGACATATATAAAAGGTTAATTTCAGCTTATACATAAAAACACTCAAAAAAAAGTAAAGAGAAACTGATTAAAACATATTGACATAAAACATGTAAAAGTAATGTATATACAATCATTAAACATATAAAACACTTTTTCTTTTTAATAATATATCATGGCAGATTTTGGCAGTGTAAAATTGCATATCATCATTATTAAACATAAATATAAGTTTTTCATCATCAAGCATATTTATAAAACTATCGACAAAGTGACTAGCACGATTAAAAAAGCTATCACGTAAATCTGCATATATTGGACATTGCAATAAAACATGTTTTTCATTTTTAATATCATTACAATTAAAACACAACCTTTTTTCTAAACATATATTCTCGTATCTTCCTGTTTCTATTCTAATAGGTGCAACGCCACACCGAAATTTAGACATAGCACTCCTGTATTTACCAGGCATATTTTTAATCAAATAATTCTCATCACCATATAAACATTTGAATTCTCTGTAAGTTCGTAATTTACTTGTATCATTAGACATTAATTTTCTTAACCAATCCTGCTTAAAATTTTCAAAAAATACATTTTCGATACCTTTTATATCATTACTATATATATCGTCTCGTATTGTGTTTTCGACAGTCTTACGTTTTCGACCTAATTCTACTTTCACTTCCCGTATGCTGCGCATGCCTGTGTGGCGTCACATTTGGCTGCTATATTTAGTAACAATAGCAAATAATACCACGTGTGGTGAAGATGTTTCAAGTAAAGTTATTATAATTAAGTATTTACGTTATTTTATTTGATATCACATTTTTGTACCTTTTCGCTAATACTATTTTTACCTTCCACAAGAATCTATAAAAAATAAACAAATATTCTAGAAATATAGCCGAGGACTTTTAGCATGTGAAGTTAACATCAAGGTCATTACGTCACATGACTGTCATGTGGTTAGGTGATATACTTAAAAGTTATTTTTAATACGGAAATGTGGATGATCCTTATAGCTTTTTGCTGAAAAAAATAAAATATCAATTAATTTTAATTCACGGAAACAGCAGTCTGTCAGGGGAGATTACAGACAATACTCACCAACCTCACTTCACAATGCCTTCACTAAAGTATATTGAACAGAAACATGACTGTATACAAGGTCCTACAAGGATCTACAAGTTTCCAAAGTGTACAACTAGTCAAATAAAGATATCAAAATAATATTTTATATCTTATAGTTGTATATGTCACCATTTAATTCATTAAATCATAAGTTTGATCGCCTCTAAAACTTTAAATAATTTGATATAAATATTGGCATCAAATTATAACCAATTCCGGATTTGTACGACATGTCATTTCCGACTTTGGACCCGTTTCTTAGATAGGTCGAAAACACAAGACGCTAGTTTTTGTCAACAAAGGTGCCATCGATCTAATGAACTGAAATAAAAAAAATATTTAAGATCGAAATATATTTTAGATACAATTATTTAATGTACAAGTATACTAGTGACTCTAAAAAATATTAGGCATGTATATGTTCAAACATATTAAAGGGGAAATATTGATAAATATGTAAGTAGGTCGAAAACACAATACACCTTATCGCTAATCCCGCTTGACCCGAGCATCTGTCCCGCTCGAACTTTTGACGTCATACAACAATCACTTTTCCATTGTAGCGTCAGCCATTTTCTATTATGACGTCAAAATTTTACGGGAACTTGTGTGATGTCCAGTAATGGCGGACAAATAGCGATAAGGTGTATACACGAGGATATATAAAAATATTAATTTTCGCGAACCATTTAGGTCACGAAAATTCCATTTTTTGCCATCAGTAAGGAGAGTTGTACAAATAATGTGAATACACAGAACCCCGATCCAATTCATCTTTTGCTAAAGATATTTATCATTTTCTGTTTTATATCTCCTAACATCATTCCATTTTTCTCTAATTTCGATTAAAATATGCCAAAACCTGCAGTAAAAATAGATGTATGCCCCAAATAAACATTCCCCGATTGGTTGAACTACTATGGCGTCGATGTAAAGCAATGCAAGCCTCGATGTAAAGCAACGCAAGCCTTGATGTAAAGCACACGCTTCCCAAGAGTAAGGAGAGTTGTACAAATAATGTGAATTCACAGACCCCCGATCCAATTTATCTTTTGCTAAAAGTGTTCATCATTTTCTGTTTTGTATCTACCAACAACATTCCATTTTTCTATAATCCCGATTTAAACATGTCGAAACCTGCAGTAAAAATAGATGTATGCCCCAAGTAAACATTGCCCGATTGGTTGAAAAGCTGTGGCCTCGATCTAAAGCAACGCAAGCTCACGCAAAAATTTCCGTTGATATGTTGAACTTCGACCCCGGGATTCAGCCGAGGTAACCTTCAGCCGATTCACATAGAGATTTTCTTGCGCTCAAATGTAATTCTAAGTGAAGTATACTGGTAAAGTAAAATTATATTCTTTTACAGAAATATTTACACATTTTATCATTAATGTATTGTCATGCTTCTGTATATTTACGCTGAGCTTTAGTTAAATATAATTCTATACACATTTTGTTACGTCAAGCATTAAAAGTAAGAATATATTTCGCGCTTAAACAAGAAAATAATCTGTGTCACAAAATAAGTTTATCAGCATATTTCTGAAATTTTCCAACAGAAAATAGCGTTAATTATAGAGAAATTTTGGTGAATATTACTTATTAATGTTAAGGTTCTCCAGAGGTGGTTCTCTACACCTTCTTGGCGGTCAGTTTAATCCCATTTATCAATACACCTTATCGCTATTCCCGCTTGACCCGAGAATCTGTCCCGCTTGAACTTTTGACGTCATACAACAATCACTTTTCCATTGTGGCGTCAGATATTTTCTATTATGACGTCAAAATTTTACGGGAACTTTTGTGATGTCCAGTAATGGCGGACAAATAGCGATAAGGTGTATTATCCCCGATGGCGATGACACCCAGTCGATTTGTGTCATGAGCGAAAATCTTATCTATTTGATGAAATAACTTCTTCATTAACTGTACATGCATTTTTTTTGTATTTTTTGATAACCGTGCACATTCCCATTGCATGTCCGCAAGATAAATGGGTTATACATTTGTGAATTGTGTAAGTACAGTAATATTGTGTTATGAATAATGGCGGAGGATAAAAATTTGTGACGGTCAGTGCGTGATCACGTGACATTATTATTTGTAAACAAACGGGCTCCCCATGTAACACGTGTCGGAACTATCCATACAAGGTGCAAGCAATCTTATATTTCACTATTTGATGATATTTCTGTGTCAGTTTGTAGGTTTTGCAGATCAAATGTCATAGTGTAGTTTCATAGACAAAAAAGTACCATGATTGTTCCTGTTCAGTAGTTGTGAATTTTTTTTTTATAGAATTAGAAGGTATGTCTACATTAGTCATTATTTAATGAATATAAAAATGACTCAATTCTCTGTGTAATTTTTCCCCAATTTTTGAAACATGCATAATTTAAAGAGCATTTGCTTCCCTTGAACCCTCCCCCCCCCCCCCCCCCCCCTTACAAATTGCCCAAAACTCATACTCATAGTCCGAGATTACTCTGATGTCCAACATCTGTTTTTGCGATTCCGGCATTTTAACTCTTTATTTTCAAATTGAACACACTCGGCCATTCAGCTTATTTACATCATAAATGAACGAGGTGTTAGATTATGTTTTCCTATTGAATAAGGGTCATTTTCATAAATCAGCTCTCATAATGCATTGTAATATAATGCATTGTAAATTACTTTTTCTGTTGGTCATGTCACAATCTTTTAAAGTTAAAATTAAAAATGCCAGTATTGATGTGTCAACTGTCCAAATATGAGAAAATAGCGGGTGGCAGGCTGATTAAACTTAACTTAAATGAAGAGAAAAATGAACTAATTGAGGCTCGATAAGGGTCATTTGCATAAATCAGTTCCCATAATGTTGGTCATGTGACATTCTTATAAAGTGAAAGTTAAAATGAGGGTGGTAATGGGGGTACCTTCATGAGGAATAACGGTAATAAATCTTGCCAAATGACGTTAACGGTAATTTTTGGTGCATGACGATAAAATGAAGACTTTCTTCAAGATGATAAAAAAATTGACAGATTTTGATGAATCACGTTAATTTTTTCCCAAAAATAACGGTAACGATAATTATTTGAGACCTCTGACGATATGTTGACGAATCACGGTAAAATGTTAACATATTTGACGCTAATGGTAACCGTATTGACCGTTTGACGCCTGACGGTAAAGGGCATTCATACCGTCTAAAATGCCAGTATTGTTGGGTCAATGTGAAAACTGTCCAAATATGAGAAGATAACAGGTGGCAGGTTGATCAAACTTACTTAAATGAAGAGAAAAATGAATAAATTGAGGCTTGATTTATATGGATCCAGTCGCCTCCAGAAGCAACGAAGCAGCACATCCACTTTGGATGGGCAAATATCTATCTGGACAAAATTTTTCATCCTTAGCCCCCCCCCCCCCCCCATAAAAATGGAAAGGAAGCTCCCTTATAGTGTTTCCTTCAGAGGGTGTTGGCCCATTAACTCTAAAAATGCTTTGGTCACTAACTCTTCAACGCTTTCACCAATTTGCATGAAACTGTTGTGAATTGATTATTTTTTAAATTTTAGGTTTCCCGTTTCAGAGTTATATGGGATTGTATTCATGTATTGATGTGAGCTCCCTTTAGATTGTTTTGGAATTTTAGAATTTACATTATCCAGTTACAATGTAAGGGGTTTTATTCATTCAAAAAGGGGGATTTCCATGTTTTCGGACATTAAATTGAAAATGCTTTAAGCAGTTGTCATTTGTCATGAAACTTTGGTTAATTGTTTATATATATCTATTGATGCAAGCTCCCTTTCAATTTAATAAATTGTGGAATTTTATTCATAAAAAAGGATAGCTTTCCCAGTTTGCAGATCAAATTCAAAAGTTTGTACATGCACTTCTCTGGCATGTTTCAGTAAATGTGTAAATTATAACAGACATAACTAACTTTGACAATGACCACATATTTTTAAGTTCAATGTACATGAAATATACAAGGTAATGCATGTAGACTCAAAACTGCTGCAAGGTCATACAGGGTTGTCAATGAAAAAAAAAAAATTTGTTTGCCAACTTGGTGTTTCCTTCAGAAGGTTTTGGTGTGGTATGACACCCTGTCATTTTTATACGCCCGTTTACGGGACGTACTAAGGTATATTGTTGTCCGTCTGTCTGTCCGTCGTCAACATGTCGGACATTAACTCAAAACCGCTTTAACCAATTTGCATAAAACTTTGGTGAATTGTTTATATCTATTGAAATGAGCTCCCTTTCGTTTTTTATAAATTGTAGATTTTACGTTTCTGAGTTATGGGGTTTTATTCATTAAAAAAAGGGGGATTTTCCAGTTTTCTGACAATAAAAGCTTTCACCAACTTGCAAGAAATTGTGGTGAATTGTTTATATCTATTGACATGAGTTCCCTTTCGATTTTTATATATCTTAGATTTTACATTTCTGAGTCACAGGGTTTTATTCAGTTTCGGACAAAAATCAAAAATGCTTTGGTGAATTGTTTATATCTATATTGATGTAAGCTCCGTTTAGAATTTTATAAATTTTACATTTTACATTTCTGAGTGATGGGGTTTTATTCATTAAAAAAGGGGTGATTTTCCAGTTTTCGGACAATAGCTCAAAAATGCTGTCAGCAATTCTCATGAAACTTAAGTGAATTGTTTATATCTTTTGATGCAAGCTCCCTTTACATTTTTATAAATTTCTAATATGACTGGGAATTAATTGAACTTTATTTGTTTATAGTCTGACGACAGATTTACTAAGTATTGCGCAACAGCACAGTGTATTGCACAACAGCAAGAAATCTTTAATTTCATCACGTTCTAATGAAGTAACAAGCTTATTTTGCCGAAAGAATGATTTGATCTAAGCTTGAGTAACAAGTACCAGAAGTGATAAAAAAATTGTCTTTATGAAAATAACATGCAACCAACTTTAAAGTCAATGCTTTAACCTCCTAAAGAAAATAAATCGTTTATGTCTTTGAATTTCTTTACTTTCAAATGAAAAATTGCTGTTTCATCGACTTGGTAAATGTTGAATATTGCCGATGACAAAAGCGACTGAATTTGAGTATCGTATACAACAGGGTGGCTAGATTTCGCTTTTGAAGGTCGGTCAAAGCGAAGTGGCGACCGGGATAGCGACTTTGTCGCCCCAGTAGCATGGTAACGTGAGCCCTGCACAATGCTTATTACTTTAAAACACAGTCCTGTAATATTTTTTATTCTACTTTGAATATTGCCTGCTTATTTCAGCAACTATTCTTACAAAACAATCCTCTATTCATCCTAGGTGTTGCACTCAGTATTGTTGATTATATTGATATGTATATGTAGTAAAGTGAATGCAACCCCCTTTTTGAAGGTAAGTAACAGTTAACAAACTCTTACTTATCAGTAGTTTAGAATGGTTTAAAAAAAGATCTAATAGATGTTACATGCATTATGATTTCCTCTCAAAAAGTTTGCATGTGTTTTAAAGTGGTTATTTAGCAATGTAATTTTTTCCCTCAGTATTAACATTAATTTGGAAGTAAGTTAAAGGATTTCAGTTAATCAAAATTATTTCACGCCTAATTTATATAAACAAATTCCACGTCGATATATAACATGTACAAAAATCAAACATCAACCCACGCCAAACTGGATGTAATTGTAAGACATCTAGAGTCTCGAACAAAAGACAAAATAAGTAAAAAATATAGCGAATTTTTGAGAATTATTATTGCATGTATATTTGCAATATTTAAAATGCATAGTTTAAAATCTTTTGAGTTTTAGGTTCCACCTACCATTTTAGAAAACTGGGATTTCATTGCAGCTAGTCTATTAGATAACATTTTATAGTTTTGAATGTTTCTTCATCAGTTAACTAAAATTAGGTGGAGGTATGTTCTTATTTCTGACAGAGTGGTACTCAACCTATATCAATTTGTGCATGAAGCGATTGATAGTTGCTAGATACTGAATGATTTTACCACAAATTTGTTAAAGTTTTAACCGGTGTATATACTTAAAATATGTTAATAAAGTTCATGTCTTTTTCAGGACTTCTGATCCAACCATGTAGTATGGCATGTGTGTGAGATATGGTTTTGGGCAGTAGGATGTTCATGAAGGACCTGTAGTACAAAGTATATCACTGGATTGAGCTCATTGTCTAAGTGTATTATTAAAGTGCTTTGCTTTGAGCTCAGTTCATTGTTATGCAATTCATTCTTTGTGAAATAAAGATTTGACAGACAACTCTCATGTACAAGGAATTGTCAAAGTAGAATCCATTCTATGTACAATGTAAGTAATAGGGAGATAAAAGCATTTTATTTAGATTTGAACCAAACATTTTTTGTCCATTAGCCAAACTAAAAAAAAAAAGTACAAATTCACCAAACAATGCTACTGGCGCTACTAGCAATATGATGCTCGGTTCTTTTGTTACACTTTATTTTTTTACATCTGTACTGCCTACTTGCGACTCAGTCCTGAGTGTAAATGGTCATTCAGTATGTTAAGAAAAAGACCAAAATTTATAAGGCCTATCTGGCCTAATTGATTTCTAAAATATATTTCATTGTACATGTTTAACATTCATCATTCATTTGTTTATTTTCTTAATTTGTGTGAATTAACAGTAAATGTTAATTACTACACTTTCATACCATAACAAAACTGCCTTACTGTATTGGTATCACTTATATTTGTATCCATATAACAAAAAAAACTGAAAAGAGAATACTTTTGCAATAGCTTTTTCATATTGAATACTAAAACTTTTTAGATATTTAGACATATTAAGTAGATGTTCATAATATCCACTTGACATTTTATCA